GCAAGCCCCCCAGCCGCAGAGAAGCGGGAGAACCGGGTGGGGATTTGAGCCCCAGGGCAACAGTGGCAGCCTGACTTATGCAAACCAAAGGTTGAATCTGCCTGCAGCTCCCCGGCTGCAGCCAGAGCCTTCTGTCTGAATCACTCGAGAGAAATTTCAGCTTCGCATGTGGGTTTGCTCAGTAGAGAGATGTTTGCCATTTGGAAGCGGCAATGAGTTGCGAGGTGATACAGTCCCGAGTTTTCAGTGATAGGAAGCATCATGATAGTGGAAAACTACATGTAAAATGACAGATGAAGCTTGCTGCGAGTAAAAATAACACACAAGGAGGAAAAGCAGCCCTAACTGCATCCCTCTAGGGAAGGGCTCTTTGGAGGTATGACACAGAGCGCAACGCAAACGTCCCCCAATGCCTGGTAGCAGTCCCCAGAAAAGCCCGTGAAAGAATGACAGGGATCACATCAGTGAAGGGAGGCTTGTTCCAGCCAGCCTTCAGAATTTGGAAGTGACCACAGAAGAAAAAACTCCCAAAGAATTACTCTAATTTTTCATATCTGGTTCATGTAAATAGCCTACGTTCGATCTCTTACACTGTGCTGGCAGAACACCAGCAGCAGCAGCCCAGTGAAATAGTTCACTTCTGCTCAAGCAGGGCCAAAGTCAGGCTCCAGCTCTTTAAAGTACTAACACCTGGGCCTTCAGCAGAACTTGTTAAGCCAGAATTCCCCAGGTTTTGGCTCACTTTCCCATATTTCAGCAACGTTCTGGTGGAAGATGATTTTTCTTACTGATAGTTGGGACATCAGAGCTTTTTTTTGGTAGAAACTCTGAAGCATGATTATAGCAGAGTTAATGAAATTAATTACTGCAATGTTCTATATAACCCATATTAGAGAAGTTAACACATTATTTCATTAGGTCTTTCTACACCATTTAGTTCTGAAGGAATGGCAAAGTTCTGTTACATCTCACAAAAAAAAAAAAAAACAACGCCTGATACCTTTTTTGACTTACACTGAATTTGGGATAAGGAATACCTCAGCTGATACTGCCAAAAAGTGATGGGTTTCCTCTTCAGATCAATGAGCGAGCAGGTGACATCTGTTACAGCACTCCACCAAAGAAAACTCCTGCAGGTTGTTTTCCCTGCGCAGCTGGTCCAGCTTCCTGAGGGCGATGCCAGAGCCAGGGGAGTCTCGCAGGGCGCCAGCACGTCAGGAAACGTGGGAAAGTTACTCCAAATATACTGAAAAAAGCTACCGCGCCCAGACGGGGTCCAACACACAGACGCGGCTGCGGCGGGAGC